CCATTCCTAATATCTGCTTTGTCCATGTGATGAAGTTTAAGTCTCTAGTCACTAATCATTGTTTTCTTTTAATCCATCACAGGAATGAGTATCTAATATTCCAGAAGATTATAAAACTCGAGTATGAGTTTCCTGAGAAATTTTTCCCCAAAGCTAAAGACCTTGTGGAGCAACTTCTGGTCAGCCTTATTTAGTCATAAATGTTTGTTTAGAGTGTAGGTGTGGATCAGCTGGGCACTCATTGGTGTCTTGTTTTCAGTCGCTGGATTCATGCAAGCGGATTGGCTGCGATGAGATGGGCGGCTATGGGCCGCTGAAGTCTCACCCTTTCTTTGAGACAGTTGGCTGGGATGATATACATCTGCAAACTCCACCCAAACTAACGGCATATCTGCCCGCCATGTCTGAGGATGACGAGGACTGCTACGGAAACGTGAGTCAACACAAGCAGCTCACACAGAGGTCTGATTTTCTTCAGAGAATATGAAATCTAGAGTATTCGTAATCTCCTTTTCTCGTTCATTTTCAGTATGATGATCTCCTCAGCCAGTTCAGTTGTATGCAGGTAGCACAGCCTGGCCACGCCCCTTTAGTTCCCTTCACAGGAGAGACAAGTAAACCTACATATAACCCCTCCCCAAGTGTGGATCAGTTTATACATATTCATGAGCTGGACAGTAATAGCATGGAGCTCGACCTACAGTACAGCGAAGAGGAGAAACGCATCCTACTGGACAAGCAGAGTGCTGCAAACCCATGGTACACAAATAAAAAGTCTTTGTATGGGACTTTCTAACCTTGTATGCCTTCTGTAAGCATTCTGTTCTTTTGTTTTTTAACAGGCACCAGTTTGTGGAGAATAACCTCATCTTAAAAATGGGCCCAGTGGACAAACGCAAAGTGAGTCACTGTTTGTAAGAATATGTAATAAGCAAGATTTAGATCCAGTTCTTGAACAAATGATTCTTATGATTTGGTTCTTTTTAGTGAATCAAAACCATGACCAGTGTAATCCATCCACTTTACAAAATTAATTAATTATTTAATTTTTTTTGTTTGAATGAGTGAATCAGAACGGTGAAAGTATTCCATCTAATTTCCGAACAAATGACTCTTATGATTCAGTTCTTTGTTTGTAGTTATTCAAAACCATGTCTCCAGAGTATTCCATCCAATTCCCAAGTGAATGACTCTTATGGCTTGATTGTTTTTAGTAAATTAAACCCATACAGCATGACCAGTGCAGTCCAATTGAATGACTCTTATGATTTAGTTCTTTTTAGTCAATCAAAACAGTGTGAACTGTGTAGTCAATCAAATTCCCTATCGAATGACTCTAATAATTTGGTTAATTTTAGTCAATCAAAACAGTGCAATCAGTGTAGTTCATTCAACTCCTTTTAAGTGAATCAAAACTATACAGCAAAGCAGTGTAGTCCATTCAATTCCGGATTTTCTTAATATTTGGTTCCTTTTAGTCAATTAAAACCACTCAGGATGATCATAGTGTTCTATCCAGTTCCTGCCTCTTATGAATTGATTTGTTTTAGTGAATCAAAACTATACAGAACAACCAATGTAGTTTTACCAGCTCCTGAAAGAATCACTCTTATGATTTGGTACTTTTTAGTAAGTAAAAACCGTGGGAAAAAACTATTCTATTCCTATTTGAATTAAAACCACACCACACGATCATAGTATTCCACCCAGTTCCCGAAAGAATGACTCCTATGATTTGATTATTTTTATCAAATCAAATCACACAGCACGTCCAGTATCTTACTTGAGTAAAAATGTTGAAGTGTTTTTCTGTTTCATCGTGTTTTCCCCTTTGTGTAAATGTGTAGGGTCTGTTTGCACGGAGGAGGCAGTTGCTACTGACTGAAGGTCCTCACTTGTACTATGTGGATCCGGTCAATAAAGTTCTGAAAGGGGAGATTCCTTGGTCACCTGAACTACGGCCTGAAGCGAAGAACTTTAAAACTTTCTTTGTTCACACGGTAACTACAATCCCAATTATCTTCTCATACCACATCTGCGTGTTTTAAACCAGATGTATAACAACCACGCTTTGCTCCTGTAGCCAAACCGGACATACTATCTAATGGATCCAAGTGGCAATGCTGACAAATGGTGCAAGAAAATCCAGGAAGTTTGGAGGAAGATCTACCACAAACACCAGAGCCCCAGCCTATAGGACTACAGGACTACAGTGCTTCCTGCCCCCTTTTGGCCACACCCCCCACAGCCCTCCAACCAATCACAGAACAGGAACACGCCCCAGTAGAGACATCTGTCTCCAGCTATATATTGTCTTTGTCTCTTCATATATCAGTCCCGTCACTCCCAGGTACTTTCTCTG